TGCTTAAGCGGGTCTTCGGCCGGTTTGAGTCAGCTTTATTCTCCCGCCTACCATCAGCATGCATTCGACCACTCACAGAATACGCTATCCAGGCCGGGAATCCATGGCTACAGCGTGATTGCAAGATGCTGGAGCGTCCACAAAGGATGACCAACAAAATGGTCAGGGGTTTTAATCGGTGTTCATACGCAGAGAGATTGAATCACTGGGGTTATATTCCAATCATTACCGGCGCATCAGAGGAAATATGATTATGGTATACCAAATAATGCAAAACCCAAGCTATCCGTGTCGCCCGCTTCTGAAATTATCACCCAACGTTCATCTTAGAGGACATCCATTCGAACAAGTGGTCTCAAAATGCCGATTGGAATGCCGGCGTCAGTCATTTGCAGTCAGAGTGTGTTCGATCTGGAACTCTCTCCCATCCTACGTCGTCTGTGTTCCAAGCACTGCATCTTTCAAACTGAGACTCGATGAAACGTTAGCACATCTTACATTCCAACGTAAATGAAGCTGTGTGCAGCAGTGGAAGAAGCACGTATCACGTGTCATTTTACTCAAGGAATTGTATGTATCATTGTTTTTTTAATCCCCCACACGAACCTATGGGACGAGAAAAGCATGAGCTTGTAAGTTATTCCCATATTAAATTTTTGAATCTTTGATTCATTTAGTGTAAAAATGTCTTTGTTTTGGAAAATGGCTTTCAAATTAAATGCATCAGAAGTTCTCATCCTCTTGGCATAGCTCAATTCTTAGAGGTTTTACTGTTTCCCTATGATCGATCGACCTGCGCACTTCTCAAGGCACTTCGTTACATGCTTTCCTGTAGAACGCTCCTCTGTTCACTTTGGACAATCGAACTATGCACTTGTCCATTGCTGTTTCGCGTACCGAAGCTCAACAGATACGTCAATCCCGTCATGCTCCCACGGCAGGCAAAATCTCTGACGTCCAAACGGAGTTGAGTGTTGCTGGTGAATCCATGGCGCGGCATCTACACCACACTGGACGAAATTTGCATCTGGCCCGAATTGGCAGTAAGTTCCTCCTTTGGATTCGACTGGTTTACCGCGCAGAAATGGGATCACTCAGAATAGTTTGTCTCGTATGGATAAAGCCTACTGAGGGTTCTAGTCGCAT